AGCACTGAGCAAGGCCATCTATTCAGCCATCAGCAATATGACCCAAAGGGTCGGGTCTGAACGTTTCCCACCACAGCACCCCTGCCTGGATGTCACAGACCCGCGGCTCAGGCTGAGTATTCTGCCGAGAGTGTCCTTCTGCAGAGGGCTGGGTTGTGTCGAGGGCTCACAGTTCCCCCAGCTCCTTTACACTCATCCTTCCACTCAGTCTTTCTCTGAGGCCCCTGACGTGTACACTCGAATATCAAAGGACCAACAAGGCAACCAGACAACACACAGCGTAAAAAGAAGTCCAGGGTCACACGGGGAGGAAGTAGAACCTGAAGTCCAGCATCACGAACTTTATGCTTTTTCCCTCCCTTGTATATCTTTTTTTGTGACAACCACTGAGTGGAGTGAGCTCTGAGTCAGGTCTCTTCAGGAAGAAAGTGCTCGCTGTGTGTCGTAGTCCTACATGCTCTCTTTATTTTTGGTGTAATTTAACACACACAGAAAGCTCTCTGTGATGATTTTATGCTCCTTAGAATGATGTATAAATTCATGCTTTATTGCTGCCTGGAAAATTACAACTTTAGCAGTTCAAAGAAACATCCTTTTATATTTTTTAAATTGTCTTTAATTCTGTGTCAGAGTGTGACCAAGAGAAAAATAGATGTACAAAAATAGGAACAGGCAGACTAGGGAAGGAGGCAGAAGGTAAAAGAAGGCTGGGGCTAGCATGAAAGAGCTGAGGGAAAAGGGGTAGAGAAGAAGGCAAGGGGAAGGCAGGTTATGGAAGGAGGAAGACAGGGATCAAAGGTCAATTTTAGTGAGCACCTACTATATGTCAGACATTGCTAGGTCCTCACTGAATCCTTAGATTAACTCATTAATATATAATCCCTTTTAATCACCACTTTACATGGCAAAAACAGTGACTAGGAGTCTTGAACTTATACCAGGTCGATTATGTTAGAACACAGACATTAGAGCCTATATCCTCCTAGAATGATTTCTGATATTCTGCTCCTATGCCTTCAAGGACTAAGAGTGGGATTAACAAGTACTCATCAGACGTTATTGACCTCACCTCAGACACTATTCCTACCACAATGAGACAAGATGTGGATTGGCCTAGCTCTCAATTTGAACAGAATAAGAAGTGCTGAGTAGAATTGGGGAGTGCCACTTAGGGTGTGTCTGTGAGTGACTGGCATATAGTCCCACAAGCTGAGAGGAAAAGGTGCACCCCAGGTACTGGGGCACAAGCAGTGGACTTGCAGCCTGGATGAGATAAGAAAGGGAAAGAAGAAGGAAGGTCTCTGTCTCTGAGGGGTCCCAGTCTTCCCTATCACCATTGGACAATGGCCTACATTTTCTCAGCCTTCTCACACTGACTTGCGATGCTAATTATAGCAAACTTCCAGGCCTCTCGCCTCTAGACTGGTGTCATGTCCCTAAGCCGTTTGTTCCACAGCTTCCATCTTTTTAGGCTGGGCTGCTCCTGAGTCCTCCCACTGTCCAACATGTAGTGGGCCACTGCTGACTCTCCTACCTCTGATCCCATACACCCATTTAATACAACCCTTTATGCCATGATACTATTTACTTTGATTCCATTCCCTAGAGAACACTAACCAGTGTACTCTTTCTATGCTGATGTAGAACATTCACTGTGTGAATCAGACATGGATCCCAGATCCAGCAGATCTCCAAATGTGTCACACCTCATGACATTTCTCTTCTGAGACTCAGTATCTCCTCTGTACTGTAGGCCCTGGAATAGCTCACCTGGCAAGTTCTTACAACTGGCATCTCTGTATTTAATGTGGTGATGCCTCATTTTCAACTAATTATTCCTGAACACTTAGATGTCCCCAAGGCATCCAACTACATGGCAGAAAGCAGTAAGGTGGGGAACAATCTTAGCAGTCTTACTGAGGATCTACCAAAATAAAGTGGAGATGCAAAAGTTGGCCCAGCAAAGCCAGTAAGTTATAATGTAGATTGGACAGTAGGTATGTTTTATTGCTTCAGCTAGGATTAGGCAGACATTCGTGGGGTTTTTCATCCTGTAACCTTAACAGGTGGTGCCTATCCAGGAAGCAAAATCGAAAGTCAATGGATAGAGGTCAGAATAGAAGAAATTGTGGTTAAGTAGAAAATTATCAATGCTCCTCACATAACTAAAGCTCAGTAAGTGTTAACCCTCATGATTGTTGTCTTTTCCACCTTCAAAGGAAGCATCTAGGACAGCAGTTTCCTTTGTTGATACACATATATGCAGAAAAAGATTGGCGACATTCTCAGAGATGTCATTTTTTTTAATTGTAGAAGAACCATGAAAAATTAACTCTCTTCTATCCTAAGCCTAGAGACAGTCATTGTTAAGGGGTGGAGAGTCCCCCAGATGTAGTAAAGGGAGGGGTTCTAGATGACTGTGGACTATCCACTTCTGAACTATGCCCTGGTAAGTCAATTTCTAAACTTTCACAACAGAGTTTCCATACAACTGGCTAGACATTAGCAAATGTATCAAACTCCTTGTCCCTGAATTTAGCATCTATTTCAAAACTCTGTGACTTCAACCTGCATACTTTCTCATGTTAAGTTTTTTAGCTGAATCAGCTTGGACACTGGATGGCCAAAGAGGATGTTTCCTGTGCAGGAGCCTTTCCTTACTGACAGGACATAAACATTACCTGGAAAAGCAACTGACTCTCCTCAGAGTGGCAGACATGAGCTGTCATCAACAGTCATTGTACCACAAGGGACAGAGTGCCAGGGTCTTTGGGTGCTTTGGGAGGAAAGCCCCAAGCCAGGTGGTCCAGGATTTATGAAAACACCGCTAAGCGCAGGGCTGTGATACCTACGTTTCTGTCACTGGGGTCACATGCCTTAATGCAACTTCAAGTAAGCTAAAGTCATGCTAACTTAGGGGTTCTCACAGGAGTCTGATAAAGCCCTCCTGTGACCAAAGGACTTTGTTCCTCTGAACTCTCCTCTCCACGAGGCCTCAATCTTGGCTCCCTCAGCACATTCAGTGCAGATTCAGCAAGAACCCTCCTGAGTCCATTTAGCTAACTAACACCCTCATACTTGGAGTGGGGTCCGTCTGACTTGCTCACACTCCACCTTCAATGCCTTATCACCATGGCTTGTCTTAAGCCAGAATCTTATCAAGCCCGTTAGTCAGAACCCCTTTTATTCTTGATAGTTTCTCCTGGTAATTTCCTGCCTGCCGACCTCAGTCCCTTCCCTTGGCTATCTCTCCCTGCATTTTCCTGCTCTCAGAGCTGTGCACTTACTTCTCTCATGGGTTGTGAACTCCCCTGGGTAGTACTCCTTGAAGAAGGTCTTGAGGGTCAAGAGCAACTTACTTAACATGACTCCTGTAATTTTATCCTCCTTTCTTTACTTATTTATATGCATTCAAAAACTCATCTACTCAGCAAAAATTTATGGTGCCACATGTCTTTATACATGACTGTACCTGGTTGGGCCAATAATATTTAAAATCTAATAGGAGTGTTAACATGGTCTCCCTAACGTAAGAACCTGAAGGAGTAAATAAAATTTGAGTGGTACAATAGATGCTGTGAAAGGGAAAGAATCTGTTCGAAGGGAAGGAACAACTGAGATGAGGGAAAGGAGGAAAGAAAGAAGAAAGGGAAAAAGAAATATATATGCATATACAGGATCACTTGTAGAGTTGTACTGGTGATTTCTGCCAGTCTATTGAAAGGAGCAGTTCATGCTTAATTTTTTTATCTCTCCTTTTAAATTATTTATCCTTTTTTACAAACCAAATTTGCATGCTTATATCTGGTAATCTGAGCAACCAGTTTGAAGACAACAGAATGCAATATAAAACAAGTGTTGAATTCCTATCATTTTGTTTTGTCAAATTCTGTATGGTTTCTAATGTTCTTTTAACTATTTTTTATTCTTTAAAAAATAAAGAAAAATAAGGAAATAAGAATGCAGTCTAAAAAATGGCACTAGGCATGTCATTATCCCCAGGTGAGTCTCTAATATATTTTTTTGTCTCTTTGAGACAGGGTCTCACTATGCCCCGCAGGCTGGCCTTGAGCTCACTTTGTAGCCCAGGCTGGTCCCAAACTCCCAACGATCTTCCTGCCTTCCCTCCCGAATGTTGGGTAGACAGGTGTGTGCCATCATGCTCTCCTCTAATACATTTTTTAACTTCAAGTTTTTGAGACTTTTAGACAGAGTTTTAGATCACTAATACTATTTTCTATTATTTACCAACTGGCCCATCTGGATGACTCTTGTTTCCCCAAATAATATTCAGGTTTTTAGAGAGAGGAGCACAGCCCAAGCAGAATCTACTCTATTACCCGGCAGTATCTAGTTCTACTCCACCCACTTAAACTCCTCATGTAGTCTTTTTCTAAGTCAAGACGAGCTCTTTCTTTCTCTCAGATAACTTTCTCTGCATTTCAGCTCAGATTTATGGGATTCTTGAGCAAGAGCTAGCTTTTAATACTCAGCCTGGAACCTTCCTATGAACTAGTCTCCTTCTCTTCTATTTCTTTCTCTCTCTCTCTCTCTCTCCTTCCCTCCCTCTCCTCACCATCTGGAGAAAGCCTTGCAAATGGTTGCTAAGCCCATCAATAATACATTGTCTATAACACTGCATTATCTTCTGATGCTGCTTCGAGTGCACTGTTTGCGTATTGTATATTTGCTCATTAATTCATATTATTATTCTTTCCAATAAGATTAAAGGCCCCATGAGAACAAAAGGTATGCCTGTATCTCTCCCTCTAAGTATTTGTTCCAAGGTCACACTTGGTAGTTCTCAACAGACACCAATTAAATTCTAGCTAAAATTCAGTAAGTAGCAAGAAATCTGTAAAGTCGTTGCAGAATGCTTGCTTTGACAATCTTTTCCTTCAAGTTCAGATTTTTGCATAACTTTTTCTTCAAGGGTACAAATGTATTTCACAGACGCAGCTGATCAACTGGCAAATAATTCTAACATTTCAGATCTTTACCTGAGCCTGCCATCCTCTGCCGCCGCGCCTCCCGGTATAATCTTTGTAATAAATATGCCAGGATCATCTCCAATGTGAGGATTATCTGTCCCTCCAGCAATACTGAATCCCAGGCCAGAATTCCCCTGTAGAAATAATAAGCAGATATTAAATGACGTGGTTGTCACCTAAAACCTAGTGCCTCTTGCACTCTGTTATCATGTTGCCACCCAAATGGAAACCGGGTGATAGCTGTCTTGTATGTGCTCATAACGTGCACGGTCAGCAGACGAAGGAAGGTCAGCAAGGACAGCCCTTTGTCCCTGCACTGCAAGGACGCAAGGGATCACTTTAAAAAATGCTCCTTTATCCAGCAATTAACGTGATCACTATGAATTAGAAAATAAAGGCTCACAGATTGTGTGACATGGAAAATTGCAGCGTCGGTTGTAAGAATAGTGCAATCATAAAGGAAAGAAACTAGTTAGGCGAGACATTTGGCTTGGTAGAGTGCTGCAGTTTGGGTGTTTCCATGTTGTTATTTCTAGTTTTGTGTTTCTTAATATGACTTCTCTTTCAAATCAACGTGTTCCTATGCACTGTAGCATACACTGGCTTCAAGAGGCCAGACCCCTCTTCTGGAATCATAACACATGCAATATCTTTCTAGCAATACACAAGGCTTTCATTTGCAATCCAGTGAACAAAGCATACAACAATTAGCTCTGTAAATCTGAGTTTATATTCTATCAAACCTTTCATACCAGTACATGTCATAGCGATTGACATTCAGTATATACTTATCCTTCCAAAATCTGCATTTAAGGCATAACTAAATCCTCTTCAAATTCACATATCAACTTATTTATTTCTTATTTGTATATTCTCTTTAATCTCCAACTTCTTCATGTTTCCATAATTGTGTTCTGATATTATTATTATTATTTTTTAATTTTATTTATTTGTGTGTGTGTGTGTGTGTGTGTATTTGTGTGTGTGTGGGGTGTGTGTGTGTGGCCAGCTCAGCCCACCAGGGGGCGGGGCTGGCTGGCATGTGGTGCTGGGGGATTGAACCGCGGTCCCTGTGCTTTGCTAAGCTTGTTCTAAGTAGGCGCTTTAGACCACTAAGCCATCTCTCCAGCCATGATATTATTTTTGTTTACACTATATTTCAAGCCCTTTCTCTACAGCAAGATAATAATTAAACTATCAACTCTAGATTGCTAAATGATGTTTCACTAGATCCTAGGCAATTATTTAAATGGTCTCCTGTCATTGAATATTTCATTTTCCTATATATTCTTACAACCAATTTCACTTACTCAATTTATGATTACTTGATCAAGTTCCACTCTGGAGTAAAAAGAGAAGACTAAGAATGAAATATTTAATCTTGAGAAGTTAATTAGGTTTAGAAGTCAGAAAAACTTCAAGGTCAAGATCAAGTCAATTATATGCAATGTATTAATCATTGCAACTGTCCTACTAATCTGTTTTGAAACTGTCTCATTGCTATTTCTCAATAAAATTCATAAAAAAAGATAAAGTCAACTATAACTTGAGAGTTATGTACTGTAAATATCAGGGTAATGTAGCAGTTTTTAGTAAGTGAATTAATAAAACTGAACTCTAATGAATTACTTCCACAATTATATATTTATGTTGAAAAGTTAAAATTAATAACGGAGACACACCAACTATAATCTCATAATTTTAACTCTTAAACTCTGGTTTGTCTTTGGCAGATTATTAAGCTCATTGAACAGAGATAGTACTTATTAACAGTCATGTAATCATTTGCTTTTTCATTGCTTATTACATATATACCCACTCAATGCCTGGAGCTAGAATAAGCCCTGGAGCCACAGAAGTGAGTATTTCTATTATGAAGAGAAAGGGAAATGGAGGGTGCAGAAGTGGCTAAGAAAACCAAACATAGTGATCTAGTGCCAGAGAAGGGGGTGTGTGGTAACAGAGGGGGATGAATTCATACTAAAATCCTGAGGGGAGAAAGATTACATCAAAGCCAACAAACAGGCAAAGTTAGAACAAGGAAAGCAGGAAAGGGTGCCAGTGAGATAGTTCAGCAGACTAAGTGCCTGATTAGGCAAGTGCAGGGACGAGGGTTGGATCCCCATGCTGTGCCGGCCCCACCCCAGGCACACTGAGCCAGCCACCAAGACCGGGTGTGGTGGATCATGCCTGTCATCCCAGTGCTGGGGGGGCTGAAAACAGGAGGATCACTGTGAGTCTGAGCTGCGTAGTGAGACCCTCCACACACACACACGCGCACACACACATGTACACACACGCACACACACATACAAAATAATAAATAAAAAATGAAAATAAAAAAACCTAGAAAAGAAAGCAAGAAAGAAAATTGGATGGGATGAGTCTTACTCTTGGCAAATGTGAGTACAGGGCCTGCAGGAGTCTATTTTGGGAGCTGTAAGTTCCCTGCTGACACTGGGTCACGACCTCAGTACTGGCTGCCGATGTGACTGACCCTGACCTAAGGCCACAGACATTAAGAGTAGGTAGGTTTCTGCCTTTGTGGAATCCCAAGCATAGCACAAAGGCTGCGATCGCCTTCCACCTGGTGATGAGCACATTTTGCATAGTGTGTAACTGTAATTATAATGTCAGCTATGCAGTCCTGAAGACAGTAAATAAGTGATTGAAGAGACGATTTCTCTAAGATCTAGAGGTTTGGGGAAGGAGGGGGTTTGGAAAATGAGGATCAGCAACATAACTTGAGTCTAGCAGGAGTCCATTGGTCTTTCTTAGGGATTATAATCTCTTAGAAAATGGAGGTAGAGAAGAAAATAAGAAGTGATTAGAAAATATTTAAAGGCTTCCTTCAGATGTTATCTATATATTCTCAATATGCAGAATTTTGTGATTTTAGCAAGGTGTTAATGATCTAGCACTTAAACTTGTCTTATTTCAATTTCATACATTAGCCTCTGTGAACACTGAGAGAAAAAGCTGGCTTTCTTCTGCACAAACAACACCAGAATTTATCTCTGGGCCTTTTCTGATGCTGTTTTATCCATCAGAAACCTCTCATCTCTCACTTGACTAGTTCTTCATGTAATTTAAGATACAGTTCAGGTAGCATTAGTTCTAGGTAGTATTTTTTAATTTTTATTACATCTCATGTAAAATGACAGCATGATTTTTGAATACAAATTGGAAACACTAAATAAAGCTAATTAGCATATCTATCCCTTCAAATATTTAACATTTTCTTGTGATGGAAGCATTAGAAATTTATGTTCCGCAATGATGTGTACAGAAATCAGTCATTAACTCCATTTACCAGACTATGCAATTGGTCCTAAAACACTAAGTCAGGCAGACCTCCCTGAGAATCAGCCATTTTCACTGTTACCTCTCCATTTCCTCTGACTTCTGGCCTCTGGTAATCTCCATTCTTTTATGTGATACTATGAGATCAATTTAGACTTCACATACAATCTAGAATGACATAGTATTTTTCTTACAATGCTTAGCATAACATTCTCTAAATCCACATACATGATTGCAAATAATATTCCTCTTTTTAAAAAACCGAATGGCATTCAATCATGTAAATAACCAAATTTTCTTCTTCCACCTATTCTTTAATGGACACTTAGTTTGAGTCTACAATTCCATCATTGTGAGTGGTGTTAGAAAGCATGTGAATGCAGACGCTCCATCCATAAGTTGATGTCAAGTCTTTAATAAGAAAGACATTTCTGGATAATACAGTAATTGAATTTTAGTTTTTTTTAAACAACCTCTGTAATGTTTTTTATTACAGCTGCTATAGTTTACATTACCACCAATAATATTCTGTTTCTTTGTTCTTTTCATTCTAATCAGGACTTCTTTTTTTTCTTTTTTTCCCATAATTTTATTGAGAAACAAATAGCAATGAGACAGTTTCAAACCAAATTGGTAGGACAGTTTCAATAATTAACACATTGCATA